GGGTTAGATCGCGTTATTTATAAATGTGTCGTAACCCTCCACCACCCGACACGGCCAATCAGCAAAAAAAGTGTCACGTTGACAAAAGACAAATAATTCACTACTTTAGCCCACGGGTGTGTTGAAGAGTGAATCCACAACATTTACAGTTTGAGTACGAAGTTTCGCTGGTAAATACATCCAACATCATCGGGCAATTCGCCAGAATGGTAAAGCCCTCGCTTGCTCCTGGTTTTAAATAGAGCAGCAGGGTGACGTCATCATTTAACTCATATCAGGTGCAGTGATTAGAGGCGGAGGGGGGGTATTGTAATTATATAATCGATTAGTAATCAGTCAATGGTTATGATTAGTAATGAGTTGTAGATGAGTAATTAGTTGTAATGTGTGTAAGTGATTATATGCTATGTTAGTAATCTGTTAATTAGTATGTGTTTCCCCTATAAGGAATTGTAATGTGCATTCATATTCTTAGCTCCCTCGGCAAAGCCACGCTGAAGGGAAACAACAAAACAACAAACATATTTTATTATCTTATTGCTTCCCCCCAATGCGACTCCACCGAAAGAGCAAAGAACATGAATTACTGCAGTCACGAAAGCTTTAAATCAAAGTGTAATGTGTATTATTTAATAATACGCTTCCAGGCCACACTAAGCCTGTAGCTGTCAGAGAGATTAAAGTTAGTTTTATTCCTCTCAATTTCAATGGATTATCTAATTAGTCTTTGCCAGTAATAATTAGTTTTACACAACACTGCAACATTATCAAAATCAATTGAGTGTCCTTGTTGACAAGCATGTTCAGCCACTGCCGACAGTTGTGTTTGAGATAATTTAATATTTATCTGATGTTCTTTTAGTCTTACGCTGATGTTACATCCCGTCTGTCCAATATAGCATCTGCCACATAAACAATTAATCCGATATACACCTTCTGTTGATAATTTAGGCAATGCGTCTTTAGTGCAAGATACTAGTTTTTGAATTTTGTGTACTGTACCAAATCTTACTGTAATGTTTTGCTTTTGCAAAACACGGGCTAATTTGTCAGTTACTCCTGAGATATATGGAATTTTTATTGTTTTAACAATCTGATCGCTTTCAGCAGTATTGCTTTGCGATCGTGATTTGGCATTCAGTGCTCTGTTAATTTGAGCATTATTGTAGACATTCTGTCGTAGTGCGTCTTTAATGTGTTTGATCTCTCTCACTAGACTCTCACCATCTGACACTGTTTTAGCCCGATGTATGAGCGTCTTGATAAGAGAGGATTTCTGAGCTGGATGATGATGTGAATCTGCATTCAGATAGGCATCAGTGTGCGTTTGCTTTCTGTAAACGCTGCGTGTTATACCTTTTAGGCCATGTCCAAGCAAAATATCTAGGAATGGGAGTGTGTTAATCACCTCCATTTCCATGGTGAACTGGATGGCCGGGTTTAGTGAATTGAGATGATTTAGAAAATCATTAAGTGTATCTTTACTATGTGGCCAGACAACCAAAGTGTCATCCACATATCTAAACCAAAAGGATTGTTTTAATGTGCTCGAGGCAAGTGCTCTTATTTCAAAGTTTTCCATGTACAAATTTGCTATAGCAGGGGATAAAGGAGAGCCCATTGTTGCTCCTTCCTTTTGCTTAAAGAAATCCCCTCTCCATAAGAAGTAAGTGTTATTTAAACAATGGTCAGCAAGTTTCGGAATATCTTTTGGTAAACCGGTATTATTTACTAGTGTATCAAGTAATTTAAGCGATTCGTTCACTGGAACCTTAGTGAATAAAGAAATCACATCAAAACTTACCAGAATATCATCAGGAGTAAGTTTAATATCTTTAATCACATTCACAAGATGTTCTGAATTTTTTTTATTAATGAAGATGTCCTACCGATGTAGGGCTGCATTTGTTTGGTTATATTTTTTGCTAATTGATATGTGGCAGAGCCAATTGTACTGACTATGGGTCGTAATTGGATGCCGATTTTATGAATCTTTGGTAGCCCATAGAGTCTAGGTGGTTTTGAGGCCCTTGGCTTAATTTTTTTAGGGATTAATGAATTGGCAATTATTGCAGTGGTCTTATGTTCTAAAGTATTAGTTGGATCTCGTTTAATTTTAATGTAGGTACTTTCCTCTAGTAAATTTCTAATTTTATTATCATAATCGGCTCGTAACATCACTACAGTAGTGCGGCCTTTATCAGCTGCTAGGATTTGGATATCCTTATTTACACGCAGCTCTCTTAAGGCTTTTGCCTCGTTAGAGCTAATATTTACTTTTGGAACTTTGCTATTCTCAATTTTTTTGGCAACCTAATGTCTAGTCATCTCTGCCTTATTATGTGGAAGGAGTCTAACTGCTGATTCTACCTCAGCAATGATCTCATCCACTGGAATTGTGCGTGGGGTAACGGCAAAGTTAAGGCCTTTAGAAAGGACAGAGATCATGTCACTCGTTAAAACAGTGTTAGTCAAGTTCATTACGGTTTTGTTTTTAAATTGTTCGTTTTTAGTAGAGATTTGTTTATTATGAAGTCTAGAAAATGTATTAATTTGGTTAGTTTTTGTTAAATTAAACACATTATCAGCCGATTGTTGTGTTATGGTATCGATTATATTCCAATAATGCATAGATACACTATTGCTTATATCTAAGTGTAACTGCTTTAGCGATTCCAAAATGTAAGATAATTCACTCCTATGGTGCTGTATTCTCTCTATTAATAATAATTCGCTAGCTTTGTGTAGTATTTGGTTAGCTTTAGAAGACTTTATGTGATGTGTTATTTTAACTGCGTTTGGTATTACCTTTGAATCTCTGCACCTTTTGAGGAATGCCAGTGAAGATATCAATTTCATTCGCTTAATGCGGAGCTTCTCCAATTTTTGGATTTTAAGAAAAGTATCCTCCCCATAGAGGTTAGTCAGTTTAACACGTAGGCTTTCGCGACCAATATTATTCATAATAAAGGTTTTTGGGTTAGATCGCGTTATTTATAAATGTGTCGTAACCCTCCACCACCCGACACGGCCAATCAGCAAAAAAAGTGTCACGTTGACAAAAGACATATAATTCACTACTTTAGCTAAAACAGTGTCAGATGGTGAGAGTCTAGTGAGAGAGATCAAACACGTTAAAGACGCACTACGACAGAATGGCTACAACAATGCTCAAATTAACAGAGCACTGAATGCCAAATCACGATTGCAAAGCAATACTGCTGAAAGCGATCAGATTGTTAAAACAATAAAAAATTCATATATCTCAGGAGTAACTGACAAATTAGCCCGTGTTTTGCAAAAGCAAAACATTACAGTAAGATTTGGTACAGTACACAAAATTCAAAAACTAGTATCTTGCACTGAAGACGCATTACCTAAATTATCAACAGAAGGTGTATATCGGATTAATTGTTTATGTGGCAGATGCTATATTGGACAGACGGGACGTAACATCAGCGTAAGACTAAAAGAACATCAGAGAAATATTAAATTATCTCAAACACAACTGTCGGCAGTGGCAGAACATGCTTGTCAACAAGGACACTCAATTGATTTTGATAATGTTGCAGTGTTGTGTAAAACTAATTATTACTGGCAAAGACTAATTAGAGAATCCATTGAAATTGAGAGGAATAAAACTAACTTTAATCGCTCTGACAGCTACAGGCTTAGTGCGGCCTGGAAGCGTATTATTAAATAATACACATTACACTTTGATTTAAAGCTTTCGTGACTGCAGTAATTCATGTTCTTGGCTCTTTCCGTGGAGTCGCGTTGGGGGGAAGCAATAAAATAATAAAATATATATGTTTGTTGTTTTGTTGTTTCCCTTCAGCGTGGCTTTGCTGAGGGAGCTAAGAATATGAATGCACATTACAATTCCTTATAGGGGAAACACATACTAATTAACGGATTACTAACATAGCATATAATCACTAACACACATTACAACTAATTATTCATCTACAACTCATTACTAATCATAACCATTGACTGATTACTAATCGATTATATAATTACAATACCCCCCCCCCCCTCTCCGCCTCTAATCACTGCACCTGATATGAGTTAAATGATGACGTCTCCCTGCTGCTCTATTTAAAACCGGGAGCAAGCGAGGGATTTTCCATTCTGGCGAATTGCCCGATGATGCTGGATGTATTTACCAGCGAAACTTCGTACTCAAACTGTAAATGTTGTGGATTCACTCTTCAACACACCGGTGGGCTAAAGTAGTGAATTATTTGTCCTTTGTCAACGTGACACTTTTTTTGCTGATTGGCTGTGTCGGGTGGTGGAGGGTTACGACACATTTATAAATAACGCGATCTAACCCAAAAACCTTTATTATGAATTGCTCAGTTTAATTTGTATATTCATATTTAAAGTAATTTGTTTACCTTTCTTCAACCTTGCACTCATATCGTGCTTTTGTTTGTGTTGTTTTTTTAACGTTCTGACCCCGTGCCCCTAGCGGACATCTGTAAAAAGGGAGCTTTATAGTTCATCGGATTTCTCCAGCATACATAAATATTCCGATTCTATGGCCCCTACCGTCACCAAACCGCACTGACCAGCGAGGGTCATGTACGGTCGAGGCATCCCGCGACCAGCGGTTGTGGATTGACAACGGAGCTGTCTGTGCATGATTCACTCGTACATCGGGGAACTCCTGGCGGCTGGGCGGTAACAGAGTCGGGGACGCCGCTGTGTAGCTTGAGTTCCCCACGCAATCGACTTGTGGCCGTCTCCGTGAACCCTTGTCCGGAGCTTTTACGTGCGCGACGCTTCGCTGATTGATCGGCTCGCTGCCTCAAAATGAAATCTTGTCATGCACGGCATCCTGCAAATGGGGTGCAGGAGTGCAGGCCAGGGCCTCGTTATGAGTGCTGCCAGTTTATGATTATTTAATTTTGTTTGTTTTATTTCCCCCCCCCCCCCCCCCGATGCTCGTCTCTCCGACGTCCGCGGCGCTCCGTTCCGCTTTGCGTCAAAAGCCCGCGGGGGTCTGCCCCTTGCCTGCTTTGCCACGTCGCAGGCCGCGTGGTGGTCACGTGCAGGCGATGGCCTCTCCACACCCCCCGTGGACTCGGGCCTTGCCATCGCAGCGATGCCGTCGATGGATCTCGTGACTTTCTGGGCTTCCCGTGCGCCAGAGCATCTCAATGCACTTTGGTATGGTGCCACGCCCGCACCTCCCCCCCCTCTCTCCCACCAATTAAGATTAACACGGTTGCCTACGTACGGTGCGAAGGAAGTTCAACATATATACATGCCGCCCTCCACCCCCTCCTCCTGCTGAGAGACCACGCTATTGAGAGATCACATGTCCACGCGGGGTTAGTAAGGCGATGGTCTCAACACGTTTCAAATACAAATCGGCACCAGAGCGGTGCGCTTTTAAATCCAGATTGAAAAACAATTTATTTACAAAAGCTTTTTTGCGTTTTATTTGTTGTCCATCCCCCCCCCCCCTCCTCACCTACGATTAGCACGGTTGGCTACGTATGGTGCGAAATAAGTTACAACATACGTGCACTGGCGTGTAACGTGAACTAGCACACAGGATGACAACACTCTGGGCATAGCTGCTCAAGACGTACCCCCGATGCGTCGCTCCCTTCTCCTGCCATCACATCTACCCTCCCAAAGCTCCCATAATAACCTTGACCGCTCAATTTAAAGAAACACATGCAATACACTCGCATACTTTGCAACGTTGAGAGTGCCGTCCCGTTGCTGGCCGCTTGGCGTTTTTTTTTGTGGCCCTTCGTGATCAAGGCCCACCCTCGTTGAAGCTCGGAGCGGGAGCCGTGGCAGGAATTCGGTGAAGAGAACAGCCTTGGCTTTGCGTTGCTCCCAATTGCTCCCGATGGAGGATGGGTGGGGGTGGGGTTAACACTGAGAGGATGAGCTGTGGATCAGAGACTCCCCCCCCCCGTCTGCCTCAAGTGGGCCCCCCAATCTCCACTGGACAAGAATAACGGAGGCTTTACGGATGGGTGTGGGGGAGGGGGGATTTCCCCAATGGTCTCGGTCTCTAACTCAATCAAAAATATTTTTTTGGGATATTTTACCAGGTAAGGCCCACTGAGTTGTATAGCTCTTTTTTCAGAAGCGACCTGGCTACCACAATCGATAAGCTCGACGAAGTAGCTTATCATCGTGTGGACATTTAGAGCAGCCAAATACGCATTCTATTTCTAAATGTGGAGGGAAAAACCCACGCGACCACGGGAAGAACACGCAAACTCTAAATATATAGCAGCAGGCGTCAGGGTCGGGATCGATCCCACGACCTCCTGTAGACCCGGCGAGGTAGCTAACATCTCGCCACCGTAGCCACCCACTCGCGCGTATCTCGCAGGTCAACGTTTTACGCTCAACTCACGCTCATCCGATACATCCATCGCATTCATGTAAATGTGAGCGATTTTCATTTTTGCGAAAATCCTTTTCACGCCGTGTGAATGTCGTTTGGTTGTCGTTTCTTGTGCGTGTGTGTGTTGCATCATTAAAGAGAAGAGGGTCTCTGTTGTTGGACCTCAGTGTTTCCAGTAATAGCGGGCTCGCAAAATTAAAAGAGGTTCGTGACCTGAATAGAATGCGTAGAGGCCCCGGTGTTAAAAAGGCACTTGCTGTGTTTAACCTTCGGCGAAATTAATTAGCCCGTTTTGTTCGGCGGCGGCGCTGACAGCAGGATGATCTATGGCCACTGTCCTAATTGTCCGGTGGTCGTTGCCTCGTTGGAAGACTTCGAGTCGAGAAAGCTTGGCAGGGCGGGAGGGACCCTCCCCCACCACCACCACCCACCACCCCAGGTGTACCCGTTGGGTAAGGGAAGCTAACACGGAGACACGCTGCTATTTGCCTTCTCGCAGCCACCCCCAGGCACCGCGGGACGCTCTGGAGCGTGCTCGCCGATATTTTAATATATGTATGTCTGCTCACTCGTGAGATTTAATTTTTTCTTCTTCTTCTGCTCATTTCTCGCCCCCCTCCGGAGAAAGGGCAAAGCTATCGAGCCTGCTCATTATTTTCTCTATTTCTCTCTCTCTCTCCTCTCTCTCTCGCTCTAAACGGTGCACAAGTTAGGAAGGGATAGGAGGGGGTGAAGAGAACGCAGATATTTAGCTACCGGAGAAGCCCTCGGCATGTGGAGCGAAACGTCTGACATCTCGCTGACCGACACGCGGGGCAACCGGAATACGCATGGGAGATGCCCGCAGCACAACCGCGTCAAAAGATTCGCGGTTGCTCATTGACTCCTTACCGTCTTCAGCCAGTGGTGGAAATTCCACGTTCCTATGTCAGGGCCGAGTTACCCTAATATGATCACCAATGTTGATTTCCCTATAAGGTCATAATCATTGCATCGACCCCAGGAAGAACGATGGGTTGAGTCAGAAGGTGCCTGCGTATCCCGACGTAACACTGCGTATGAGGCGCCCACTCAGCATTGCCTCCCAGCCTCTCCTTCCCATCATAATGCCTCGTCCAGTACCCTCGTGTCCCAGTTACTTATGACCCCCCCTCTCCCCTACCCCCCCCCCCCCCCACACACAACTCTCTCACAACTTGTAAAGTGCTGGTGGCGCGTATGTAAGGGTCCGTGTCTCCGCAAGGATCGTCGAACGGCAGCGATGCCGCCGCGAATTTTGTTTGTGGCGGAGCGGCGCTCTGATTTAGCACTCGCTCGCTGCTGCGCTCACAGACCGCAGAGCGAGATCTGTGCTGTCAACGCCAGCGTCTTCCCTCTGTTTAAGTAAACACCCCCGTCGATAAATCTATCGTGTTTTTTTTTTTTAAACCAGATGAGATAGCCCATCAGGGACCCGAAGAGGCCCCTTGAATCCAATGGATAGCTTGAAACGTGTGTGACCATCATCAATGTCGTCGTCAATGTCAGCATCGCCAGTATCAGCCGTGGTCAATCCACAGCTGGATGAAGGCCGCCGCCGACACCACCTCTCACGATCCCACAATCAACGGAACAACCGCACGCGAGCTGACTGAATGTACGGTGGAAATATTCACCAAGACATAAACAGAGAACACCTTAAGTTTTACGTGATATGAGACAAAAATACAACAAATTAAGTAGTATATTAGCTAATTAAATACTATGAAAGTCTTTGAAAAGGGAGATGGCACGTAGGAAGAGAGAGAGAGAGGGGGGGGGGGATGGATAGCAGTATGAACTGGACATACATCTTACAATTTCTATAAAGTATGTATTTAAATTAAATAGAAAACGTTGTTTAAAAGCACTTTAATCCTCGTAGCCTGAGCAATGAGTCACATTGCCCATTAGGCACTCACTGGGAGCGAGTGGTGAATCACTATGAGAGAGATGTAAGATTGTGTCAAGTATGAGAAGCATCATGGTAGAGAGTAACGTATAACACGTAGGCTGTCGCGACCAATATTATTAATAATCAAGGTTATTGGGTTAGATCGCGTAAGTATAAATGTGTCGTAACCCTCCACCACCCGACACAGCCAATCAGTAATGGATTTGTCACGTACACAAAACGCCAATAAGTGTACTACTTCAGCCGAACCGGTGTGTTGGAGAGTAAATCCGCAACATTTACAATTTGAGTAGTACGACGTTTCGCTGGTAATTACACCATCCAGCATCATCGGGCGATTTGCCAGAATAGAATTCCTGTGTTCATTGTGGCCAGCGTGGGGTGGGTCGCCGGGGGTGGAGGGGGGGGGGCATTGTGATGGGAGCGGGCGCTGTGGACGGTGCGGGGGCGAGCGCATTGCTAAAAGTTTGCCGAGTGCAGGTGAGGCGCTGGCATCGCATCCCAAAGTTTTGTCGTTTGTTGTTTTTGCCGGCCAGCAGACTCGCTGGCAGGGGGGGGGAGAGCGAGAGTGTACGCGGATAATTAGCGAGCGGCAGCGCCATCGATTGAAACGATCCGAGTACGGGAATTTGAACGCGAGGATTGCATTTGAATTGGAAAGAAGAGGTGGTGAGGGGGGGGGGGGGTCACAAAGGGGAGAGGGGGGTTGGTTGATGATGCGAGACGTCCGCACGACTGGCAGCCCTTGCGGGATCTGAGCTCCATGGTCGTCCAGACAGAGACGCGGGCATTGACGGATTACAAATCGGGGCGCGGGACAACGTGTCCTGCTGTGGTGCAGCATAATTTGTGAAGTCGGTTAATTTATGGAATTAATTATGCCGCGTTTTAGATAATTGCTAAAGTGACAGCTTACAAAAAAATTGAGTGGTGTATTGCAGCGGGCTGAGTTAATGTTTTTTTTTCTCTCTCTCTGTCTCTCCATGTCTCCCTCCCTCTCTCTTTCATTCACACAACGCGTCTGTTTATCTCGAGAAACGTAAAACCGCAGCCCGAAGTCACGGGGCGTGTGCAGCGGTGGAGCAGCAGACGATGAAAAACAAAGTCCGGTGTCCACGTCGCTCAGCGAAACTCTTTACTCAAATCACAACATCGTTCGTCTTTGCCGATTGAGAAATTAAATTGAATTAATATAAAAACCCTGCTGAGGAAATTGTAACTTGCTGACCAGCCTCTACTAGACATCTGTGAAAAAGGAAAAGAGCTTCATAGCTCATCGGATTCCTCCAGTCTCAAACGTATGGCTTTTGTGTGACCTGTCAAGCCACGTCTGACAAAGAGCACACCCCCCCCCCCCCCCCCCTTACTCGCTCCCCCACGCAATGTGCCAGTCGTGGCTTCTTATTTTCACCTTTTGGGTCACACTTCACGAAAACGGTTCGGGAGAATGTTGGGGCCCCTTCTCCAAAAATTGGCAGCCAACTCGAGCCGTCTGAAAACTTGCAAATAGAGTGGAGGGGGGGGGGCGGGGGGGGGGAGCTCCTCGGGTGGGGGGTGGAGGGGAGGAGGAGGAGGTGGTGGTGGTGGGAGGCGACTTTAAAATGTTCTCGAGTTCTGCGGTTCGTGGGAGTTTGGTTATTTATCATGACCCTTGCCACGCGGCCTAATGAGAATTATTCCGTAAATATTCTGATGGTAAAAACAAGTATTGCCTCGGCACACGTTAAAGAAAAGAATGCCTTCTCATGATTATTGCCGGAGAAGTAAGCAGATTGAGTGGTAAAATCAGTTCCTGGCGCAAGTACTCGGTGGACATGGTGATGGCTTGGGGGTGACTTCGCAACATTAAGCATTTTCAAGTTGAATCTAAAAACCTACCTTTTGAAACTTGCTTTTACTTAAGATTATTTCCTAGTGTAATTTTTTTTTTAATACGCCTTCGATAGAAATTTATTACGATGCAATTTTGTTTGTATGGAAATGTATTGTATTGTTTTAACAATGTTTTATTTGATCTGCACAGCACTTTGAATCGCGTGTTTTGCACGAAACAGTGCTGTAGAAATAAAGGCTTGATTGATTGATTGCTTCATCCAGCGGTGGATTGACCGCGGCTGATAAATGATGACGACAATCGGCTGAGCGCGGGCCCGTTGAGCTCGTCCCTCTCAGCACGACCGCTGAGCGAGAGCGTTTAGTGGTGAGCTGCGATGGATGAGCAGGAGAGTGAGGAAGCATCGCAGTCTCCCACACCCCCCCTCCCCCCGCTGCCCCCCCCCGCTGTCTACCCTCCCCCCGCTGTCCCCCCCCTCGTTCCTCCATTTTATTGCACCTGCTCCCCCCATTTTCCTCTCCTGTTCCACCATCCCTGCACCTCACGTTCCTGCACTCCCCCATGCCTCAACCCCCGACCCCCCTTCCGTTCCTCACCCTCCGTTCCACTCCACTCGGTCCCTCCCCACTTTTGCTGTCCCGTTCCTCCTCCCTCTGTTCCTCTCCCCCCTTCTGCCCCCCCCCGCCCCCCTCACCTCAACCCCCCCCCCCCCCCCCGTGTTCTTCCCACGTAGTGAGCGGGCTCACGTCTCGTTCTCGTTCGCCCTCGGTGCACTTAAACAACGCGATCACGCGCCAGACGATCGCGCGGTGGGATTGTTAATCCAGTCGTACCCCGATTTAACGTATACCCCCTTCTACGCCGTTTTGCAAATACGTCGTCGCTTCATTGTTAATGCCACCACCACCACCACCACCTGATTTGCTGTCGCCTCAACCCCACACTCGCGTCGTTGGCAGCGTCGTCCGTCCTCTCTCGCCATCCTCCGCCTCTCGGCATTCGCCCCCACCACCTTCTCTGTAAATCGCTTCTTGGATTGACGTCGTTTCGATATTCGTCGTGGCACCTTTCAGGAACGCATCGCACAGACGTTAATCGGGGAATGACTAAATTATTTTTATTATTTTGGCAGGAGGTATTCTGGCGTTGCGCAGAGACCATGTCAATCGATATTTCCTTCAGGGGAAGATACAATACGACGTTTTGAAAAAAAATATAAAAAATAAAGCAGATGTGCTGCCGGTTATAATTAAAAAATACTGGCAATTACGTCCCAACGAAACATCGGCGCGCATAGTATTGGCATTAATCAAATTATACAAGTCACAGCTAATCTTAAAATTATACTCTGTTACACATTTGCGGCGTATTACGTTGCTCAATATAGATTTAAAATAATGACCAGATGATAAGAGTGGAGCGATAATTCAGAATTGAGCAACTGTCACTTTGCTGTGCGTTTAATCAGCGCAATGTCACATTCCGGCTCTCTATATTGTGCTTTATTGGCAATAGTGCGACGCGTTAGTGAGTATATTTCTTTGTTTTCGTTGCATTTCGTGGCAAAAACAAATCATTAGTTTGACGAAAGTGGGGCGTAAAAAAAGAACGGTGATGGGGATGAGCGAATGGACGATCTTTCTGCCCTGCGTTTATTTCCCGTGGAAGGTGTACAAGTGAAGTACCATAAACGTCGCAGTCATTGAAATGTTGTTCAAAACGTTCGTGAACGACTGCACATCCGATGAGCACGGTTGGCTACGTACGGTGCAAGAGAGGTTCTACATACACACGTACACACAGGGCAAGTCTTTCGAAGTGCGGAAAACTCCTGTGCAGACATTTCTGCCTCGTTTTCACTTCTCGTGCCTCTCTCTCTCAAGCGCCTTTCCCCCAAATTCTGCTGTCGGTGCCTGGGTGAAGAATCCGTTGGCAACTCTCCACGCAGCGAAGCAGCCGCCACCGTGTTAAAGAACGGGCCGCGCACGCGGATATCACAGAGCTACATCTGAGATCTCCTTTAATTGACCTCTGATCCACACGGCAAAGACGGCCACACGATCCCACCCACTCGGCCACTGACGGCAATGTTCTTCACACGACTGTCAAACTGATTTATTTTTTAATTATCAGACCAATATTTCATCCAAATGAAGTATATAAATAAACGTAACGTTCACGGAGTCGCTAAACCTGAGAACCCGGCTTAAGCACAGGTTTGAGAAGCCAGGCTCTCGGCGGTGGCAGCGAATTAAAATTGCACGGCCAACTTCGAGTACACGTACGTCTCTTTGCTCAATAAATTTCATTTGTCCGGCCGTAAGTGAGCAGCGATTTAATACCGCCACTAAATATGCAATAGGGTAATGTAAATCAGAATATATTTTTTTATTTGGTTGTAAACCGTGGCCTTTTGAGGCCCCCACCACTGCTTAAAGCCGCCAGATTATCCCTCGACACCGGTTCTTAGCCACGCGTCACGTTGCTCTTAAACTCCCCGCGCCCGCCTCTCCCCGTCGTAATCTCCGTGTATTTACCGCGGGTCATTTCATCGTTTGCGAGCATTCCGCTTGATACGAAAAAAGCGAACGCATTATACGAGGTAAAAGGCTAAGAAGGGGGCATCGTTTAATGGACAAAGGAGTCACCTGTTAAACATGGAATTATTATTTTCTGTCACCTAACACTCATTCTCGTGCCCCCGCAATCAGCTCCCTAATGGCCGCGGCGTTATGAAGATGCTGATTGATGCGTGCTCGTCACGCCGCGGGTATTGATCTCGCACGCACGCATTGATTCCGAGGCAGATTATAGACTCGCCGATGGCGCGCGCCGAAAAGAGGGGGAATCTCGCGCTCACCGCCGTCGCGTTAGCTCAACGTGGTTTATTCACGGAGCGCCGCTCATGCTCACAATTTAAGGCCTTGTAAGGTGGAATAAATAATACCTCTCGAGAGCGCTGTTGGCATAACCGTAAAATAATGACCGGGCAAACCCCCCACCCCCACCTGGAGGGGAGAGTTATGCAACAGACGACCTCTCTGTCACCACTCCTGTCGTCATCATCGCCGCTTTTGTCATCATCAAAATCTGATGATATTTTCTGTCAGCCGGCAGTCGGCCGTTCCAAAAAAAAAAAACAACTGACGGCCGCGCGCCGATGTCGATGAAAGTTGACCAGAAATAGGGCGCACAACTCAAAGCGTCGCTTGGCCCAATTTCCACCTCCGCCCGCCCCCCTCCCCCGTCAAATCCTCCACACCGCGCCGCGATGGAAGGAGGGGGGGGGGTTACGGATTATGATTGAGCTGGAAGTGGCGGTCGTTGTTGGTGCCGTAATGGGTCCATCAAAGCGGAGGAGCGCTGGGGGTCGCAGGTGCTGGACGGGCCCCCCTTGCTGCGAGGTCACGAGACGGGCCCTCGATGGGGCTGATTGCAGCCATTTGTCTGCTGGGTTTGTGGGGCCTTCCCCCCTCCCTCTTCCACCTGGGGGTGCGTGGGCGCGCGGGGGGGGGGGTACTTCGAGTGGGGGGGGGGGGGGTCGCGCGAGTGGCGGCGGATGGACGATTTTAATGATTTCAAAACGAAGGTTTCTCGAAGCGTTTTTGCGCGTCAGTTTCTTCCGTCCATTTCGCCTCTCCGTTTGTCCATCCTGTGTTTATTTGTGGCTGTGGTTGAGTTAGGCTCACAGGGCAAGGTCAAGGTTTTGGCTACAAGTTGACTTCGTCAAATATCCATCTGGTAACTGATTATGATTTTTTTTCAGCCTACGGATATCCTGGCCGTCGCCATGTAAATGTGGAATTTCTGCCACAAAAATAGGGCCACCAACGGAGGTGAGCACCGTGCCATAGTTCGCTGGAGCGGGCGTGGACGATTTGGGGGTGCCATTCTCAATCCTGCAGCGACCTCAGTCTCACCAGATGTTACGTGCAGTGTGACGGCTCCAGGTGTGATGCCGGGGCGACCACCTCCCCCGTTTACAGCGCATCTAATGAAGCTGTAGTTATCGTGAAAATGTTTTACACTTTCAATAAGCGTTCCCGATTCTGTGTTAGTTATTGAAATCATAAACAAATTCGGGCCTCGGTTAATTCCCGGTGTTAAGGGCCCCCTCCCTCCGTCCTGACCAAATTTCCCAGTGGGTGGGGAGGGGGTAGTGGAGGTGGAGCGGGGTCAGGGCAGGTACCCTGAGCACGGGGCCACGACGTCGTGGCCGATCATCCAGCGGGCCCTCCTCTCTCTCTCTCTCTGCGCTGGTGGCGGCTCGACGAGGTCACTCACAGCTCCATCCCTGCTTAGCTTCCGAGCTGGAGGCGATTGAGCCCCCACCCCACCCCTCCCGCTAAATTCTAATGCTCAAGTCAAACAACGTTGGAACAATATGAGTAAGGGCTGAGATCCCCAGCACAATGTAGGATGGACAGAAGGAAAGCACACCATCACTCATTCCATGTTGCGTTTACCATTCGTTTAAAGTTTGTTTAACATTGACCGTTTCGCCATCCCTCCTCTTTAAACAAGGTCATGCTACGGGGCTCGGGCCGCGAGCAACACAGATCGCGAGTGACCGACGCGAACAAGCGGACGGGATAAATGAGTTCACGACGCTACCGAGGCGATGATGGGCGTGGCGTTACGGGTGGGTGGGCGGGGGATGTGCACGCGCATCGTCCG